AGTCACTTAAGTCATTTATAGGGCAGTCACTTACATAGCAGTCACTTAAGTCACTTACAGGGCACTCAATTATACAGAGAAGACACTTACAGGGCACTCACTTATACAGGGCAGTCACTTACAGCGCTGTCACTTGTACAGGGCAGTGACTTAGACATGAGTCACTTAATACAGGGCAGTGACTTAGACAATACAGGGCAGTTGCCCGCTTGTGCGTCGTATGGCTTCAAGGCGTGTACAGGTCAGTCGCTTACAGGGCAACAGGGCACTCACTTACAGGGCGATCACTTATACAGGGCAGTCGCTTACAGGCCAGTTACTGAGGGCTGTCAGGGCGGTCACTTATACAGGGCAATCGCCGCACCACACCACACTCACTTGGACGTTTGACCTTGAAGTCCTCGTTTATAAAAAGAAATGATTGAAATTGTTGCATTATTATGATAAAAAGATCGATATGTTTTCAATTTTATTTTAATTCAAATCAAATAAGTGTTGTCATGGAATAAAACAAAAATGTATTAAAAAACATAAATATATTACGGCTAAAATAAAACTAAATGGTAACCGAAAACTTACAATTCAAAACTAAAACTTAAACGAGTTCTAACTTGATTTGATTCAACTATTTTATTTATAGTAAAGAAACATACAATAATTAAATATACGAATCATTCGTACAACTTATTTTCAAAATCAATGTCTTCTGAAATTCAGTTTGAGTTTTCATTCTATTTATACTTTATCGCTTCAAAGTACCGACGATGGCGCATCAAAATGACACTAGAACAGTCAGCATCAAATAGTTTGTGACACCCAAAGTAGCCAAAAAGTTCGCAAAACGTCTTTGTTACAATTGGAATAAGGTTGTTTTATCAACTTTTTGTCCACTTTATGTGTCACGAACTATTTGACGCTGACTGTACTCTAAGGACTCTTTAAAGTCCGGTCGCCGAGCAGATAGAATTTCGTCCAATGGCCCCAAGCTACCCATCCTTATCGCTCGCGCGTAATTATATTGCTGTCACGACTGTGCGACGGGCGGCCGCATTGAGTGTGCCCGCGCGACAGCAATATAATTACGGGCGACAAGGATGGGTAGCTTGGGGTCATTGGACGAAGTTCTATGTGCTCGGCGACAGGATTTTAGTTACTCTGATGTGCAGTCGTTTTACTTCGTTTTTAATAAGAATTAAAATTATTCTATCGAATATGGCGACTGGCGACGCGTCATCAAGAAGAAAATGCCGCGAGCTCTGAAAAAACACATAAAATGTTAAATTCCATACTCAAATTCCATATTTATTGGTTTAGTGCTTACCTGAGTTTGTGCCTGAGGTATGGAAGCGGCACGGGAGGGTGTTTTTGTGACGTCAAATGTCAGCAACTTGAGACTGATGTGATTCAGACTTGTATAGATGACCTACACTGAACTGTCCCACCAAATTCATTGACAGGGGGACTTCACCATCATTAACTAAATTCCAACACAACATGGCAAAAATCGGAACCAGCGATCTGGTATTTCCGGGACGTCCACCCACAAGGTGGACCGACGACATCATAAAGCAGGACGCAGGCCGCTACCAACCGAGCAGCATGGAAAGCATTGGGGAGGCCTATGTTCAGCAGTGGACGTCCTGTGGCTGAGTTGATGATGATCTGGTATTGACGGTGGCGCCCCCCTGTCAATGTCACGGGTGGGACAGTTCAGTGTATTGGGTCTATATGCTGTCACGTCATAATATGTCATTGGGTCCCATGCCGCTCTTATACCTTAGGCACTTACTGAGGTATCCGCTTGACCTTTAGTTCTATGATGAAAATGCAACCCACTTTCAAACACATATTTTTCTTTGTTAAAAAAATTTTTTTTTGAACCAAAAAACAATATACTTAGTTCTTTGGTGCAAATGCAACCCACTCTCAAATACTTTCTTTCTTAAAAAAATGTGCATTTTTTTATTAAAAAAAAGTTTTTTAATTAAAATATATCTTTACCTTACTTTCTACCATTAACGCTCAGTCTCCCGCCTTTAGGGCCCAAACCTAGCAGTCTTTTCAACAGTCCCAGAATTTTAGACTCATTCCCTAATTCCAAGTCGTATTTTATATCAGAGACCGGTGGATAACCACCTATATAATTATTCCTTTCTTTAGAAAAGTGGTTCAATTCTCCATTCGCACTTTTAACTAGGGTATTTATCTCTCTCATCACAGTTACGACTGGTATGAAATTCCTTCTGTGTTTCATTAAGAATTCTAGCATTCTGAATAGTAAATTGTCACTGTCGTTATCGTTGTTTCTGAATAAAGATATAAAACGCTTTTGCCTTGGTAGTTTTACTGTTTTTGTAGTTTTCTGGTCTGATGTTGTGTTGTTTTGTAGTTTTTCTGTATTTGTAGTTTTCTGGTCTGATGTTGTGTTGTTTTGCAGTTTTTCTGTATTTGTAGTTTTCTGGTCTGCTGTAGTGTTGTCAGGTTTTATTGTTTTTGTAGTCTTCTGGTCCATAGTGTTGTCTTGTAGATTTACTGTATTTGTAGTATTCTGATCTGCTGTAGTGTCTTGTAGTTTTGCTGATTTTGTAGTCTTCTGTTCTGCTATAGTGTCTGTGTCTTTTGATGTAGTGCTCATGTCTTTTAAAGTAGTTTTGTTGGTTGTATCATTTGTGTTAATTACTTCAGTATTACTGCTGATTCTTTTCTCTCTTTTATAAGAGGTTTCTTTTACAAATACATCTGTATCTTCTTGCGTATTATCTATATTTATTTCTGTTTTACTCTCGACTATTTTATTATTATTTTTCTTATTGTTTTGTTGTAAAAGTTTATATTTTCTAACTGCAGCAAATTTAGGCGATGATTTAGGTATTTCATCATCAGATTCTGTTGTGTGCAATGATGAGTTTTCAGTGTCTTTCAGAAAGTTGATGTATGTAAAGAATTCACGCAGTTTTTTTTCTAGTATGTTCTTTTTTGTGTTCGCTGTGAGATGGTAGACGTAGAAACCTTGTGGTTGTGCGTTTTTGTCACCTGAAATAGTGCGAAATGGTGCGAATAAGTGAATATTTGGATAAAATAATACTGTAGACATGCTAAGGTTTTTTTGTAACAAGTCCACGCCATTGAAATCTATTTTGTAAGTTCAATATCATTAGGGTGGTGTTAGTGTGTGGTTATTTTAGGTTTATTAATTAAAAATTGTTAAGCCCTAAAGTAGGAAGTCTCTACGCCACGGAACTAACACGATACTAAATATACTCAAATACTTTTAATAAATCATGATTCTACACGAATATGTAAAATTATCTTACGTTCGATCAACTCCCATATGGATACTGTGCTGTCGCACAATACGTTATTGTATATGACATTTACTGCAATCTTCTTACTTGTCGTAACATTGTGCTAAGGTGGTACTGTGCTACTATCAGAGAACTGTGCTACAATATGTAGGAAAGTGCAATACTGTGCTACAATGTGTAGTTGCAAAATGCATAAACATTCACGTTCTATTAACTCCGTATCCCATTTGGATATTGTTCTATGCAGCGCACAGCCCGCGCTTGTATTAAACGGTTTTCCTACTCACTTATGATGGTGTTACTTTCAGTGAACTGTGCTATAATTTCTAGAATCTATGCTACTATCAGTTAACTGTGTTGCAATATGTACGCTCTGTGCTACATCAAAACTCATCTCACGTTCTATCAACTCCGTATCCCATAAGAATACTGTGCTGTGCAGCGCACAGACCGCGCTTGCAATTACAACAAATACCACTCGTATATCATTTTGCTAAGCAGTACTGTCCTACAATATGTAGTAAAGTGCGGTACTGTGCAACTTACTATCAGTGAACTGTGCTATAATATCTAAAATCTTTGCTACTATCAGAGAACCGTGCTACAATGTGTAGGAAAGTGCAATACTGTGCTACAATGTGTAGTTGCAAAATGCATAAACATCTCACGTTCTATCAACTCCGTATCCCATATGGATATTGTTCTATGCAGCGCACAGCCCGCGCTTGTATTAAACGGTTTTCCACTCACTTATGATGGTGTTACTTTCAGTGAACTGTGCTATAATTTCTAGAATCTATGCTACTATCAGTGAACTGTGCTGCAATATGTACGCTCTGTGCTACATCAAAAATCATCTCACGTTCTATTAACTCCGTATCCCATATGAATACTGTGCTGTGCCGCGCACAGCCCGCGCTTGTATTCAACAGTTTTCGTACTCACTTATGATTGTTTTACTCTCAGTGAACTGTGCTACTATCAATGATCTGTGCTATTATATGTAGTAAAGTGCGGTACTGTGCTACAACAAGTACAATCGTCTCACGTATCAACTCCGTATCCCATATGGATACTGTGCTGTGCAGCGCACACTCCCCACTTGTATAAAACCTGGTTACTTATGATTGTGCTATGTGCTACTGTGCTACATTCAGTGAACTGTGCTAAATCAAAAATCGTCCACATTCTATTAACTCCGTATCCTAAATGGATACTGTGCTGTGCAGCGCACAGTCCCCGCTTTGTATAAAATAAATATTACTACCAGTGTGCTACTACCAGTCAACTGTGCTACAACAAGTACAATTATTATTGTCTCACGTTCTATCAACTCCGTATTCCATATGAATACTGTGCTGAGCAGCGCACAGTCCTCGCTTGTACAATTACTACACTGTGCTAAAAGTGCGGTACTGTGCTGCTACCAGTGAACTGTGCTTCTAAAAGTACAATCGTCTCACGTTCTATCAACTCCGTATCCCATATGGATACTACACTGTGCTAAAAGTGCGGTACTGCGCTACTACCAGTGAACTGTGCTTCTAAAAGTACATTAATCTCACGTTCTATCAACTCCGTATCCCATATGGATACTGTGCTGTGGCCAGTACAGACCACAGTCCGCGCTTGTATAAAACAGTTTTCCTCACTTATGATTGTGCTATGTGCTACTGTGCTACATTCAGTGAACTGTGCTAAATCAAAAATCGTCCACATTCTATTAACTCCGTATCCCATATGGATACTGTGCTGTGCAGCGCACACTCCCCGCTTGGATAGAACCTGATCACTTATGATTGTGCTATGTGCTACTGTGCTAACGCTCTGTGCTATAACAAGTACAATTGTCTCACGTTCTATCAACTCCGTATCCCATATGGATACTGTGCTGTGCAGCGCACAGGCCGCGTTTGTATTGCCGCCACGATCCGCACGCGGTGGCCACGAATGCCTTCGGCCGGATCACAGACTCGCTGTAGAACTGGTATGAACGCCAGTGGCTGCAGAAGACTGGTTAGATGGTTGTTAGTTAGGTTAGTTGGGGAAAGGAAGCTTTTTTATAAAGAATATTAGTAATACAAAGTATACAAATTACTATAGGCTGAGTCAGTGTCTGAGGTATGAAAGTGGCACAGGAGGGTGTGTCTTTTTGTAATGTCAAACGGCGAGACGTCAGATTTGTTAATATGCTAATGACACACCACTCCCGTGTCGCCCTCATACCTCAGACACTGTCTTATTTATGCGCTAGATTTAAAGTACAGAAATCGACAATAAAGTTAGTTAATTGTTTTATTTAAGAAATGTAAAGTCAAACTATGAAATTATTCTAGAAGTTATGAAAAATTAGTACAATATCATGATTTAACTACCATAATAAACGAATCCAAAAAGTAAGTCGTTTTTTAATATTAAAGCAGTATTATAAGGATACTCACATTTGTTGAGAAATCTTTGCTCGTGTAGCACCACTTCGAGTTCGCACCCAGGTTGAGGACTAATCCCACCGTTGGGGTAGAAGTCTACGTGCCCAATTGGGGTTTTGAAGCCTGTAAAAACATCATCATCATCAGCCACAGGACGTCTATTGCTGAATAGATTGCAAATAATATAAAAAAGTAATAAAATTTGAAATTGGCCTTTTAAAGGCACTTTCAAACGTCCCAGTTAAACCTTAACAAATTAATAATTAGTAAATTATGACAACCAAAAATTCCGCACAAAGTAAACCATAAATAAACATCAACGCTTTTCTATACTTATGGGTGTTTTAATATCGTACGGACCCGCAAGTGTACTTTTCATAGAAGTATTTATTGTAACAATTTACAATACTTGACAATAAATACTGTATGAATAGGACACGACTGTCACGTATCCCGCGTCCTTGATGAAATCTGCACGATAATTATTAAAACACACACTTGAAATACATACCAAATATCCCAGCATCTGTGTGTATAACGTCCACGAATTTCGCGTCAGATGGGTCCAGTCTCTGCGATAGGGGTAATTTGTCGAACAGCGGCAGCGCCGGATCCAGACCGGTGATCCTGGAGACGCGGCCTGTGAACATCATCAGGTCATTCAGTCTCCACTAAAAACTCATAAAAAACTCATAAAACTTATTTATTTTTGCAAACAGACTTTTAAACTTTTACACGTCCCAGTATTAACCCTACCACTGCTTCGGGACAATAAATAGGCCAGTGCTGAGAAGAAGCAGCGCAAGAAACTCAGTCACTATTGACAGACACTAAACTCAGTCACTATCACTGCAAAAGCAGAACTGTGCTACAATATGTAGGTTCTGTGCTACTATCAGTGAACTGTGCTACAATATGTAGATTCTGTACGACTATCAGTGAACTGTGCTATAATTTCTTTGTTTTAAAGCCCCGTTACTCTTCGTACTAAGCCAAATATACTTGTATCACGAGCTCACCACCGCTCAATAGTCGAGCGGCGGCGGGGACCGAACCCGAGTTCCTCGGATCACGAGTCGGCCAGTCCGACCCCTTCACCGTTCGGCTATTGTGGCTTCAATATGTAGATTATTTGCGAATATAAGTGAACTGTGCTACAATATGTAGATTCTGTGCTACTATCAGTGAACTGTGCTGCAATATGTAGGTTCTCTTCTCAGCCCATATGTTGTCCCTAAGTGTAGTATGTATGGCTTGCCCTTCCTAGGCAAGCCATATGCACAACATAATATATTATAATCCAAATACTTGTCTGGCTGGTGCCCATAGTACAAGCTCTGCTTAGATTGGAACTAGCTAGGTTAGTATAAAATACCCAATGTCTAAGGATTTATTTCAAAACCTACCCGACTTCAAGGCGGAACCAGCCACACCGGCGGACTGAGCCCCCAGACTGTGCCCGATGAAGTGCGTCTTGTTCAAGTCCAGGCCCCTGAAATGAATAATTTTGGTCAAATATGGCACCAGCCGAATGGTAGAACGGTCATAAAGAATAAAGTGCCAAGGCATTGACTTTCAGTCGTTGTTGAAGTATACAGGAGCGATGACATTAAGACGGGACAGAGTATACAAGTTTGAAGCACATCTGAAGTCTTGTTGACGTTTAACGTCACAAAAACCAATCCCTCTGTACTGGAGGATTCCGGGTGAAGCTCGCTTCCACCTTCATCTGATCATCACTTTCCATCAAGTGAGATGCAGGCCAAGGGCTTCCCTGTTGTGGATAAAAACTCTCGCTTACCTGGAGACTGCTCAGTGGAGGTCGCAGGAATTGCCTGGATGCGGGCAGCGCAGAACCGCTGCTTGTAAAAATCCTTGGAGGAGGTCTTTGTCCAGCTGTGGAAGTGATTGAAGTGAGCTCACCTGGAGACCATGTAGTCCACGAACTTGGCGGCGAATTGTCCGATGTACCAAGTATTCTCTGCTGCCGTGAAATACCACGGCCCGGCCTCCAGCCGGCTCAGGTCCAGGATTATGAAGTTGCTGTCCCCACGGAGCATGTAGGCTGTTGAGAAGAACATTTATTTAACACCTGTATTCACAAACGATGCTTGGTTAAGTGAAGCAGCAAATCGAACGCACAGCCTTGAATAGAGCTCTGTGATTGGTTCGTGTGTTACCCTGTGCGTCCACGCGCACAGTGAGACTATGAGGTCTCACTGTGTTCGTTCGTTTCAGCTAAATGACGTCCACTGCTGGACAAAGGCCTCCTCCAAGGTTTTTCACAGGACACAGTGCACGGTCCTGCGCTGCCCGCATCCAGTGACCTTCACCAGATCGTCGGTTCGCTTAGTAGGGGGCCTGCCCACACTACGTCTTCCGCCCAGTGGTCGCCACTCGAGAACTTTTCTGCCCCAACTTCTGTCGTCTCTACGAGCTATGTGCCCCGCCCACTGCCACTTGATTTTAGCAATTCTACGAGCTGTGTCGGTCACTTTTGTTCTCCTGCGGATATCTTCATTTCTGATTCGATCACGCAGGGAAACTCCGAGCATAGCACGCTCCATCGCCCTTTGGGTGACATTGAGATTTCTTACGAGACCCATAGTAAGCGACCACGTCTCAGATCCGTATACGATCACTGGTCAAAGACATGAAACACTGCGGTCAACAATCAAGTGGCAGTGGGAGGGGCACATAGCTCGCAGAGCTGTTGGCCTCTGGGGCAGAAAAGTTCTCGAGTGGCGACCACGGGCCGGAAGACGTAGTGTGGGCGTGCCCCCGGATCGTATGTCAACCTAGTTGACATATGATCCGGTGAAGGTCGCGGGAGGTGCCTGGATGCGGGCGGCGCAACGCAAGGCCGGTCGTTGTGAAATCATTGGGGGAGGCCTATGTTCAGCAGTGGACGTCCTGTGGTTGAAATGATGATGATTCCATTCTATTACTCACATTCTCTAACCAGCAGTCCGCTTCCATCGTCGGGCTGCTCCAAAAAGGCACCGAAGTACACCACGGTCGGGTCGTGGAAGTTGAAGTGAGAAGCGAACAGGCTCTCGTCATCGTCAATACGTAGCTCTTGGTACACTGTCGGATTGTGTCTGAAACATACAAAAAAGTGCTTTTAAGCGATTTTGTGAAAAATATTGACTGACTGACTGACTGACATAGTGATCTATCAACGCACAGCTCAAACCACTGGACGGATCGGGCTGAAATTTGGCATGCAGGTAGATGTTATGACGTAGGCATTTTACGAAACTCCACCCCTAGGGGGTAAAACGGTCGCTAGTAACTCATAAGATAGGTCATGTTTGAGTGTTATCGGTACACGCTAAATGATCCAGCATGAGTGCACACGCACACTACAATAATGACGCTCGGATTGCTCGGATCAAACTCCCCGCACCCCGCGCAACCGAGACCAAAAATTTGTGGGGCGCGTCTTCGTGGATGAAACGATCTATAAAAGAGTAAATCTCATAAAAAACTCATAAAACTTACTTATTTCTGTAAATAGGCTTAAAAAGCACTTTTACACGTCCCAGTATTAACCCTACCACTGCTTCAGGACAATAAATGGGCCAGTGCTGAGAAGAAGCATCGCAAGAAACTCGGTCACTATTGTCAACCTCTTTTTCAAAGGATTACAGGCTTTCAAATATACAAAGTTATAAATATTTATGCGAGCTAGGCAGTAACGCATCCCAAACATTTTTATCTTTTAAAAGTTATGCAAATCGCTCTTTTTCGTGAATTGCTCTATATTTTTGCGAACATATAAAAGGTTTTCATAAATGATCTGTGAAGCTACTGTCACTATGTTAATTTCCTTAAAAAAATCTTTCAAGGAAAATCGGGGTCCAAGGTTATAAATGGCCCGCACTGCTCTCTTCTGCAGAACAAACACAGTTTCAATGTCCGCGGCTGCGCCCCACAACAATATGTCATATTGATTAATATGACATTATACTGTGAAAATAGCTAAAATATACTAGCCTTGCCGTTTCAATGTCAGTTAATTGCCTTATCTTTCTCACTGCAAAAGCAGCCGAACTGAGCCTTTTTGACAGAGTGTCAATATGAGGGCCCCATTGAAGTTTAGCATCTAAAGTGATTCCCAAGAATGTTGTGGAATTTATGCTATTTAGTAACAAAACTTACCTTGTAAACAGTCTAAACTCAACATCGTTGTTGTCTCTAACAAACGGGCACTTTGTCTTATCCACTGGCAGTATCTGAAGCAGGGAATCTTCGAACTGCACCCCTGGTGGTCCTGGAACAGAACGATGTCATCTTTAGGTCATTTATGCCGGTTTTCACCATCAATCCCTAATTTTTAAGTGACCCCTTAGAGTAAGCGCACACTGTTGATTTTTAGTTGGCCGATAGTTGTGCCCGATTTCAAATTGTATGAAGAATCGGCCAAATCGAATCGGCGTAGTGTGCGCACTCCCATACATGCCCATACTGATCAACTGCCCGACTAAACTATCGGCCGACGAAAAATCAACGGTGTGCGCCTACTCTTAGAAAACAAAATTCCTGTTATGGTTTACCAAAAGGGTCACTAAAAATTAGGGATTGATAGTGAAAACGGTCTCCATAGCAGGAGCATGACCCTCGAATTTACCAGAGGCAAATGAAAACGAGTTGGGGGAGGCCTGATGTTCGCATCTTTTTCCTTTCATCATCATCATCTCAGCCATAGGACGTCCACTGCTGAACATAGGCCTCCCCCAATGCTTTCCATGCTGCCCGGTTGGTAGCGGCCTGCGTCCAGCGCCTTCCTGCAGTTCCTGCTACCATTATGATGTCAGTCCACCTTGTGGGTGGACATCTTTTTCCTTTAGTCAAGTTTAAAAAAACGTTTTTGTACGTTTCTTACTTCAGAACTCCGTAAAAAAAACGTATTTTTTTATTGAAAGACTACATATAATCCCGGTTCGGTCTTACTTGAATTTTATCAATATCGATTCGCGGTTTAGATTAAAAAAAAAGTCATCTAGGCGGAACTGCAGATTTTGCTTTTCTGTGACTGTAGTATATGGCCAACAAGAAGGTTAGGCAAGATGTACTAAAAAGCAAAAAAACAACTCCAAAAAAGTACACTGAACGGAGAAAATAATTGCATTATTTATTACATACTAGCTTTTGCCCGCGGCTTCACCCGCGTGAATTTTAGTTTGTCACAGATCGTCATAAATTATAGCCTATATGTTTTTCTGGGTTATAAACAATAATACTGTAAAGTTTGATCAAAATTCGTTTAGTAGTTTTTGCGTGAAAGAGTAACAAACATCCAGACATCCAAACTTTCGCATTTATAATATTAGTAGGAAGGATTTATATTAAAAATACCATGATTGATTTTAATTCTCACTATGACACAAATATTCCAAACAGTTTATCAAGTTCCTTACAACTTTTATACATACAATTACATAACATAATGCAATACAACCCGTATTTAGATATACCGGTGTGTCCAGATGACTAGAAAACTGGTGTTATGTTAGTACTTAAATGACGTAAGTGGCGACTGGGTTTCAACAGGAAGAAACAAATTAGTAACCCTTTTGGTTTGGGAATCATTAAATAACCTAAATTATTGAATTATTTAAAAAACGACTCTAAAATTACCATTTATGATTATTTGTCCTTAGGTTATAAATATTTTTAAGATTATTTTTCCAGTTTTTGTGCCCTTTTTGGGGTCAGTTTTATTTTTTTGTTAAAATTAATTTTGACCTGGTTACTTATGAAGGTTGAGAGTTTCTTTGAGGCTAATTCTATTGACCAAAACCAGTAATTTCGTTTACCTGGATGACATATTTTCCGGTATTTTTTTTAAACTATGTAACAATAATGATAAAAATTTTTTAAAACCGATTCATAATTTATGAAGTTCAGCGATAGCACACAAAATAAACCTTTTTTGAAAAAAGGCCTACTGCTAGCGCTTACCTGAGTCAGTCACTGACGTATGAGAGCGTCGAGAGGGTGTTCTATAGTCTGGTCCGTGAGCACGTAGAATTTTGTCCAATGACCCCTAGCTACCCATCCTTATCGCTCGCGCGTAATTATGTTGCTAACGCGCTCGCACACTCACTGCGGGTGCCAGTCGTACAGTCGCGACAGCAATATCGTTACGTGCGAGCGATAAGGATGGGTAGCTAGGGGTCATTGGACAAAATTCTACGTGCTCACGGACCGGGCTTTAGTAACGTCAAACGTCAGCGAGACTTCAGATTTCATCTGAGATCTGTCACGTCATTATAATTATGTCCTCCCGTGCTAGACCTATAATAAAGAACTTAAATGAATATTTCCAACACGTTGTGCCCAATAGAGAGTAAACAAGTCCTCATTATGGGCCATTACAATATTCATAGCGATAAAGTTACGAAAGGAACCGCGAAGCATGCGACAGCGCATCGTTGCAAATTTTATGCTGCACCTCACCTACATATGGTTGGTACACTCGGCCACAAATAGTCGTGTAATAAACTAGCCCGGCGAACTTCGTACCGCCTATGTTCATCAGAAATAATTTGTAGGAATCTAATGGTGAAAGAATTTTTCAAATCGGTCCAGTGGTTTCTGAGCCTATTCAAAACAAACAAAAAAATATCTCCTCTTTATAATATTACTGTAGAATAACTTTTGTACGCGTGAAAATCGTTTGAATTTTTCTCCCCGTTTTTGCAACATTTTTCATTGATACTCCGCTCCTTTGCCTGTAGCGTTATTTTACATAGCCTATAGCCTTTGCGATAAATGGACTATCCAACACAAAAATATTTTTTTAATAGTTCTTGAGATTAGCGTATTCACTAAAAAAAAATACCACCGACTTAACTTCTAAAATTTCGCCCCCACTGGGAACCAAAACTCACACAAGACCATATACTTTAGGAAAATTTCCTAACCAATATTACGGTTGACTATACAGCCACAACGCGGTGGTTTCGGTTATCGACCATTGTGTGAGAGTTGCACAAAATTCAATGGTACACTAACCGATTATGAAGAAACCCTAAAAGAGGGCAAAGATGCGTCATTCTACTTCATAAGTTTCAGTTTCTTGCGCTGCTGCTTCTCAGCACTGGCCCATTTTGTCCCGAAGCAGTGGTAGGGTTAATGCTGGGACGTAAAAGTGCTTTCTAAAAGCCAATTTGCAAAAATAAATCATCAGCCTGAAGGTGGAAGCGAGCTTCACCCGGAATCCTCAACCACGGAGGAACTGGCTATCTTACCTCTAACTGCCGGAACACAACAATGTTGTTAACATTGTTGTTATGGCGACAGACTTAGGTAAGATGTTTGTAGCTAGCCAGGCGGACTTAGAACAAGCCCTACCACCAACCAAACCGAACAGAAAAATCTGCACCCACTGGGAATCGAACCCGGGACCTCTGCGTCTGAAGCAGGTGGTCTTACCACTAGACCACAGAGGCGGTTAGGTACATTAATCCCAACTAATATTATAAATGCGAAAGTAACTCTGTCTGTCTGTCTGTCTGTCTGTCTGTCTGTTACGCTTTCCCGCTTAAACCTCGCAACCGATTTTGATGAAATTTGGCATAGAGATAGTTTGAGTCCCGGGAAAAAACAAGTTTCAAAAACCGGGATAAAAACTATCCTAAGTTTTTATCCCGGTTTTTGAAACAGGGACGCGCGCGATAAAGTTTTTCTGTGACAGACGAAATTCCACGCGGGCGAAGCCGCGGGCGGAAAGCTAGTTAAGTATATTTCCTAACATCCAATCAAGACAATAATTCTATAAAAAAGCCATCAACAACACCTATTATGGTGCATTAAAAACAAGCGAGTGCAGCGAAAAAATCATCGTTTTTTTCAATCGCAACGCTTGGAGGGCCACGTATTTGGCGCGAGATATTTCATAATAAACTGCTATGCGCTTATGTAAGTGCATCAATTAATGTTCCGTTTGTAAGTAACACTTGGATATGTCTCAATTTATAAGCTAGTTATTTCCTATGGCTTTGCGCATTTGTGCCTTCTGTCACAGAACGACGGGATTTTCTTTTGGTGTCTTTAAATCTAAAGAGACCAGAATCGATTGAGACTAAATGGGTCAGTAAAATCAGTGAAAATAAATAAAACTGGTAAAAATCACAAGTAACCCATGACTTTTTCATACAAACTTATCAGTCTATAACTTCTATACCCCCCATTGATTTCGACATTGAGTTTTCCCAAAGTAGCTAAAAAGTTCGCATCACGTCTTTGTTACAATTGAAATAAAGTTAAGTTGTAAATTTTTTGGCCACTTTGGGTCTCACGAACTATTTGTCGCTGACTGTATTTGTAATAAAAACAAAGTAAAAAAAGTGTACCAGTATAAATTAGTGGTCATTTAGTAATAAAATCAACCTTGCAGTTAGTATTTCTTTACTAATAAGTAAGTACTAACTCTTACTTTATTAGGTTTATTACAGACCGACCAGTTTTTCTTTTAATTTTATTTTATTCTAATACTCCCCCTCTTCCCGTGGATGTCGTAAGAGGCGACTAAGGGACAAATATGCGAACATCAGGCCTCCCCAACCCGTCTGGCCTAGCAAACATTTAAGAAAATCCCTACTAATATTATAAATGCCAAAGTAACTCTGTCTATCACGCTTTCCCGCCTAAACCACTGAACTGATTTTGATGAAAGGCATAGATATAGTTTGAGGCGCGGAAAGGACGTAGGATAGTTTTTATCCCGGTTTTTGGAACAGGGACGCGCGCGACATTTTTTCTGTGACTGACAAAATTTCGGGTGAATCCGTGGGCAAAAGCTAGTAAAACATAACTGCTAAAATTGCTTTTCTTTTTCACTAAGAAAATCCTGTTGTAATATACAAACAGTAGTTTTAAGATAGCGGTTGAGGATTCCGGGTGAAGCTCGCTTCCCTATCCACTATCCAACATATATCATTCAGATAACTTCCAAAAAACAAAACAAACTCACGTATCATCGACAAAAAACACGCCAGCGGCAACGACGGCTGCATCGTAAAACACAGTAACTCAAAAAATCACAAAAATCGATCACAAAATTCTGCGCGCGAGTCGATGCGGTTAACACAGAGCGTGGTTTGGTAAGGACCGAACGTACGGGGTGATTTTTCCCACCAGTTTTCCTAGAAACTAGATTTCATAAATGCTTTGCGGCCGGTTATAGGATGTGTTCTTTGAAATCAATAGAAAGATGTAGGTTGTAGGCATTGACTATGTAAAAAAACTCTGTACTATAGGAAAATA